TTTTAACCTAGCTTTTCTTCTGAATACATTGTGTTCTGCTGACACACTACTAAGTGACTTTGAAGGGGACTGACCAGGTCTGCTAAGCCTTCCAGAACACCTAGATCTTCCACCCATCCTTGGTCGACCACGTCTCTTTGGTCGTCTGGGTCTTCCAGGTCCTTTTGGTGTTACGGGTCCTCGGTGTCCTGAACTGATTTCATTTTGTTGTTCTGCCAACAAGTGTCTGCTTTCTGCAGACTTACAGGCCTTAATTAAGAGAAAGATAAAAGTTATTTATTCACCATTTTAAGCAGTGTTTTGAGGAAGACAATTTTATAATTAAGTTCTTCATCTATACAAACAATAAAGAACATATTAAATGAATGCAAAACTGAATACAACTGAAAAGAAACTTGTGTAATAAATCCAACATGTTAGTAAGACTGCTACTTCTGCAACACATATATGCCATTATTTGCAAAGTTAGCATTTTTGATCCACAAAATGTCATTAAAAAATACAGAGATTAAGGGAATATAATTAAAGAGCTATTTTATGTCAGTTAAAAATGTTTAGTATTTTTGAAGTAAAATATGTCCTCTGCAGATAAGGAAGTTGTAGAAATAAACCTTAACTAGCAGTAAAACATACCCAAAGAAAAATTTGGGTTTCACTGTAACTGTGTCAAAGCATGAAGATTTTATATGAAATACAAAAATTCTGAATAGCCATGAACAGTGACAAGCCTGGTAACTAAAATTCAAAACATGTTGCCCTGTTTCCACATTACAAAATCCTTAGTCTTCCCTAAGAACACAGCTAAGAAGCAGCTTCTGTTATACGACCACATGGCAAAAAAGTACATCTTCTATTTTTATGTTATCATTGTGATTTCAGTGCAAAATTTGTTACAGATCGAAGTGTGATTTCTTACGGAACACGTCTTGGTTTGTCTTCCCGTCCAAGCTAGAATTTCTAAGAATGTCCCAGTAATTTTTGAGAGGGGAGTTTACAATAGTACTGAGGTCTATAAGGCTTTTTCTCATAATCAGTACATTTTCATGTGAATGTTCATTAGCTCCCTACTATTGTAGTGATTAGGAAAGCTCTAAAAAGGGCAAATTTATGTCAGTTCTATCCAGGGATTAAATTCCTCAGTCAGTTCTAAGTATGACATAAGACTAGGTTGAACATGAGGATCTTGATTGCCTTCCTGTCTGTATCAATGTACAAGTTTTAATAATCTTGCTATTCCTTCTAGGGAGTATATAGATGCCCAAAAGCTGTAGCAAAATTAATGAGTTAAAGTGCAAATTTGTAGAATCCATATTTGCTAGTTAAAATTAGCAGGTATAATGGCAATCTATCAGTCACTAGCAGTATTACATATGAGACTAACTGAAATTTTTCTAAATTACCATCATCCTGGGTAAAAAAAGTGCTGCACAGGAAAGTAACAACTATGTAATGATACAGAGAGCGGACTTAAGTATTCTGCAGTTCTTTTTCCAAAGATGACAGAAGAGTGTAGAGGATGGGGGAGGTTTGTTTGCTGTAAATTTTTATGTTTCTGAGAACTTCACATTTACAAATAAACGTAATAAATCTGATTAAAGAGTATTTTTTTCTGGACAGCAGCTGTATCAGCTCTTACTGCAAGGTGTTAGAGTAATTTTAATATTAAAAGAGAAAATTTACTTTGAAGCTGCCAGCTTAAAATATCAAAGAAAAGAATTTGCAGCTAAAGTAGCTTCCAACCCAGAGACTCAAGTTTCACCAAAGTTTGGTTTGCAGGAGTGGCTAAACCATACTTTCAAAACCCGCTCTAGGAAAAGCTACGGTCCAGTGTTGGATTCCAAACAAGTGTCATCATAGAAAAATCTGTTTCAGTAATAGAAATTCATAGAGCAGATGATGTCTTGCTGTCCATCATGCTAAGGGTTGTAACCGAACAACACAGTATTCTTATCCGAATGCAGAGAAGAATGCTATTTATGCAGACAAGGGGTTTTTTTCAATCCAAAAACTCTATGTCAGAAAACCAACAACAAATGAACTCAGTGAACAATTGGGTTTATGAGCCTGTGCAACAATACTATTCCTGCAATATTCCAAGAGACTATGATTTGATTTTTAAAGCCCTTCAATAGGAAATTTGTTTTAGTATACGGGTGGATATTTCTGAGCAGTGCAAGACTACGTGGGTACAAAACTGCCATTCTACTTTCCACAGAACTGACAACTTTTCCAAGTAACACACCTTACCTGTTCTCCAGCCTTCGAACCAACAGTTTCTTCCAGACTGGTACCTAGTGCATTTTCATTATTTAAAGTGACAGCAACTGAATCTAAATGTGCTGGACTCGTTTCCTTACTTATTCCACAGGCATTGTCCACAAATATACTTCCATTAGGCTTATTTAAAGGTATTTTTTGAGGTGAAGACTCCAGCTGTCCATGGCCTGGGTTAAGTTTATAATGTCTTGCTAATCCTCCTTTTCCTATATAGGATTTTTCACAAGTCTGACATTTAAACGTTTTGGGTTTCAGATTATAATTTGAAGAACTGAATAACGCATCCTTTCCCTTCACCTTTCCTTCTTCATCGTCTTCTATACTCAGCTCAGAATAGTCATCAGAATCAGACTGATGACCATCAGCCAAATCCTCCATTTTAATGAATTTATAATCTTTAGCTTTGTATTTTGGGGGGCGTGAAATCCGTCCAGAACGAGTTTTCACTTTCAAGGATTTCTTTAACTTGTCATCTTTCTGGGTTTTTTCAAGGCATGGTATCAGAGTATTTGCTGAACTGGCTGCAACCAGGGTAATATTTGGAGACCTTGTAGCCGATACCGTGGCACATGTAACTTTCTGTCCATTTAGCATCTTAGATGTGGGAATCTTGTTCACAGACACTGATCCATGAGATGGCAAAGGTCTCTGCATAAGCAACTGAACTGGAGACTCGGAAGAACTATGCAGGAATAGCTGCTGCTGCGGCTCAGTTCCTGTAACAGGCTGTATCCTAATTATCTGGGGATTAATAATGCCAAGTCCTGGTATGCTAGCACTTCTACTAACTGACTGACTCAGCGTTATAGTTTTGGACTGGATTGGTGCCAATGGTGGCATTGGCCTTTCAGTTTCCTTCATCTGTCCTGGCTGAACTTGGACACAAATGGCTTCCAGCTGCTTTTGTGGAAAAAAGGAAGAGTTGAGATTACACAAACACAGTAGTTATAAATAAAGACAATACTTATCAAGGCGATACACATATGCCCTTGAAGCAAAGCATAAAGAAAACAATTCACATCATTAGTTTTCCATTTTAATGCATCACAGCACAGATTTAACAGCACAGCACAGATTCCCTTCCTTCAAGCTACGGGCTCTCCTGCACATTTACTGATGTGACTGCTGCTCAAATAAAGCATGTGAAGTTTGCCCTTAGGCTATGTCACAGCTTTGTTTCCTGCTAGCAGGCCTGGAATAACAGAGTCAATGCCACCACCTAAGCAGACTCATAACCTTCAGCAAACCAAATGCAGGAGAACTACTGTCTAAGTGACACAGGCCGATACCAGATCCAGGGCATCCTGTAGTTAAGTGCTCAGTTCAAAAAGACCTTCATCATGATGATTAAGGGGAAGTATGTGTTACTGTTCCATGTCCCTCAGGCTCTCTCCTCCTCATCCAAATTTCTGCTTCAACTCAATCGCTTGACGACCCCTGCACCCCAAACCACGGGCTGAAAACCTTCTGTGGGAGGAGCACGGATTATCTATCCGTGCATCACCTCTCAATCATTATGGAACAGCTCCTCTACGCTGTTTTAGCTGCACGTGTGGTCAGACCGCAATACTGACCACCGCAGCGAGTACCTACATAGAAACGCGGATATTTTTTTTTTTTTTTTCTTTCAAAACCACGTTGGAACTTCAGTGTTTCCGCTGCGAGCCTCGAGTCTACACCCAAGGGCAGGTGTGACCGAAATTAACGCCTCCCCCCCCCCAAGCGAGACTCGCCCTCGGCGGTGGATTTCATCGCCACAGCGGGCGCCGCAGACCCCCTCCCTCCCTCCCGCCCTCGGTTACCTTCTGTGGGAAGAGCCGGGCGGCCGCCATGGCTTTGCCCTGCTGCAGGGCGACCCGCTGGGCCACGCTCTGCAGCTGCTGGGCGGCGTTGTGCATGATGCCGCCGGCCTGCGCCGGGCCAGCGTCCCGGGGCGGCGGGCACGGCTCTGCCGGCGGCGGCTTCTGCTGCTCCTGGGCTTTGCTCACTTGCTCGATGACCCGCTGGAGCTCCGCGGGGGCCAGCGGCGTGGCGGCTCGGCGAGGCGGCGGGGGCGGCCCCGGGCTGCCGGCGGCGGCCAGCAGCTGCTCCAGCAGCCGCCGCTGCTCCTCGGCGCTCAGCCCCGCGCCTTCCACCAGGCTCCCGTCCGCCTGCAGGTAGAGGACGGTGCCGGACGCCGCCGCGCCGGCTTCCAGGGCGGCCAAGCTCTGCGCCAGGTCCTCCGGCACGGCCAGCAGCTCGGGGGTCGGCGGGCCGGCGGGCCCCACCGCCGCCGCCACGCTGAGGGGAACCCCGCGGGCGGCGGCCGCCCCTCCAGGGGGCTCATCTTCAGCGGGAGGAGGGGGGGGCGGCGGCGCCTCGGCGCCCCCCTCCTCAGGGGCCGCCATCTTGGCAGGCGTCAGCGGGCGGGAGCCGCATCGCCGGCCCGCCCCCCCCCCCCCCCCCGGGAGGTCTCGGCGGCGCGGGGCGAAGCGCGGGGCACCGGCGGCGCGCGGGCCAATGGCGCCCCTGGGGCGGGGCCGCCCGTCACCGACGGCGGCCTCGCGGGGGCAAAATCCGTCCGAGGTGCGCGGCGCCCCGTGGGCGTGGGCGGCGGTGCGGCCCACGCGTGCTGCAAGCCGGGTGTGGGGGGGAGCTGGCGCGAGTTGGGTTTCCCCTCTGCTAAGGCAAAGCGTGCGCTCGGCGGCTCTCACGGGGTGGGGTTTCGCTGGCCCGCGAGGGGCATGGCGAGCGGGCAGGCGACGGGGTGAGCGTGGACTACGCCTGAGGCGGGACCCACGTGGAAGAAAACAAGCCCGAAGGAGCGACCCGAGCACGCTGCAGGCCAGCCGGCGTGGCAGCCCCACCCGCTATGGGGGAGTGCGCCCGGGCCCCATCCGGCGGGTAGCGGGCGTGGCCGCGCTGGGTGGGCCCACCCTGCGTCCCGCGTGTCTCCGCGGACATGGGGAGGCAGGCGGGGAGCACCCGGGGCAAACCGGAGGGAAGGAAAAAATTAATAAAATCGGAAAATACGGAGTTGGCCCGTACGGGGATCGAACCCGCGACCTTGGCGTTATTAGCACCACGCTCTAACCAACTGAGCTAACCGGCCGCCGTTACGCCGTTTTCCCTCCCGGCGCTGCTCAGCCCGGGCCCGCCGGGGTGGGGGCGACAGGCGCAGCGGGGCACCCCCCGCCCCTCGGCAGCGCCGGGGCCGCGCGGGTGGGAGCACGCTGATCAGCTCGGCCAGAAACCACTGCACACACCCCCCCCCCGCAGAGGTGCGGCGCCTGGGGGGGCAACAACCACCCCAGGAGACGTTCAGGGAGTGACTCCACCGCTGAACAGGCGAACTCCCCCGGGTATTCTAGGATATTGCAGTTTCCTTTAATTAAAACGAAATAGTTACATGGGGCGTTTTATTTTGAAGCGCTTACACTTCTGGCTGTTTAATGCACTGTTAGGATCCGAGTTTGCATGGATAAATGATTCACCTTTCCTGTTTACTACATATGCAGCATTTAAAAGACCACTGTTCTTCTCAGCTTTGAGCCCCACAATCAATTATGCCCGTTTATCAAGAGGCGGACAGCGAGGAGCGGGGACATCTCTCCAAAACGCCGTTTTTTTGGAGACCGGCTGACTGCAGCTCGGTGAGAACACGGCTCAGCGGGAGCGGGACGGTCGCCCGGGTCCTCGCCTCTCCGTTTAGTCCTGCAAGCGGTGAAGCCCGCCTAGTTCACAGCTGCAGTGGCAGACGGAAACCACCAGGGACCAGGAGATCACCACAGATAACACCCTCCCCTCCCCACGGCTCGCCGCTCCCGGGGAAGGCGGGAGGGACCTCACCGCACACAGCGAGGCACGCGGAGGGAGATGCGAGACGCGAACACTCCGCCTTCCCACCGCAGCACCCGCCCGCCGGCGGAGGGACCCCGGCGCATGCGCGGCGCTTCCCCCCGCGCCCCGGCGGGGCGGTGAAGCCGCCTGTCCCTCCTCCCCGGTACGGACTGCGCATGCGTCTTGCCGGCAGGGTGGGCTGCGCTGCGCCTGCGTGGTCCGGCGCGCCACAGTGCCGATGGGCGTGGTCGGCGGGGCGGGGGCGGGGCTAGGGTCGGCGCGCGGGGCGGGAAGCTGGAGCCTGCGCGGTTGCCAGGGTGACGGGGACACAACATGGCGCGCTGAGGGCTGGGCCGGGAGGGGTTCGGCCGGCGGGCGCGGACGCTCCCTCTCCTCCCCTCGAGATCCGCAGGCGAGCGCTGGACGAACAGTAAGGGCGTGCGGGGAAAAGCAGCGGGCCCTGCTCGGTGTGGGGGCCGCGGGCAGGTGACCCTTCCTGAGGAGTGGCGTGGGCCGTGGCGCCTCGGCGGAGGCCGGCCGGCCCCGGCGGCCCGCGCCCCGCGGGGAGCAGCCGGGCGGGGGCGCGGTCGGTGCTTGTGCAGCCCCTGGAAGTGGCTGTCGCCGCAGCCCGCTCCCGGATCTCCCCACCGAGCCCGCACGTGGAAACGCTGGTCTCCCTCTGCATGTCAGCCCCCCTCTTCAGCAGGGCGTTAATAAACGTGTCTCGCTCCTGTGAAGCGGTAGCCCGGTTGTGTTCTGGTGTCTCCAAGTATTTTCTTAGAAATTGCTGTGTTTTCTCATTCTTTGTTCTGCAAGCCTTTCCTCCATTACTTAGCATCCTTCAAATCATTCCCTGTCACATCCTACCCATTTGGCATGTTTCTGAATGCAATAATTATGTGCCACAGCCTTGTGACTGAAGCTGAACTTCTTGTTGCTTGCTTAATTTATTTGGTTACATCTCTCATCCCATATGCATTAATGTCATACATAAATTTCATGGCTTTTTCTTTCTTAGTATTTCGGCATCTTTACAGGAAACTATCTACTTTAGGTTTTTATAATATCCTGTTTTGACTGTTGCAGTGCTATCTTTTCTGTCATTTTGCATTGGATTCTTTAATTCCAAATGATTTGTTTTTTGTGTGCTCTCTAGTTAAAGTAATGTGGGTATAGTTTTTGAATTCCATCACTTGCCTGTAATTTAAATTTACATTGTTCTTACTTTCCTTGGTCCTGTAGCCTCTTGCACATTAAATTGCCCTTCTTTTGGACAATTACTTCTCTGCCATTTTCATGGCCACTTTTTTTGGTATTAGACCAGTTTAGATTGCCACAATTTATTCTTCCTAACCTCTATCTGCTTTTTCACTAACCATTCTAAGCCTGAACATCTGTGTGCTGAAACAGAGGGGAGCAACGAAAGAGATTAGGTAATATCTAGCTTGTTAGAGATGCCATGAAAGAATTGCTAACGGGTGATTAGGTTATCTTTATTCTTTAATGTTATATGGAAGTGTAGTAAAACACTTCATTTCATTCTCAAAGCTTTCAGTCTTAAAATGTTAATAACATTTCTGCCATTATTCATCTTTGACTACCACAAATTCAGGTAAACCAACTGGTAATTAGTTTTGCTTTGTAGCTGTAGTAAGTTTCATAGCTTAAAACCGAGACGCTTTGACCCGATTGTTCCCTTTCAGTGTGTGTGTGAAGTCCCTTGTTTCGGTGTGATTTTTGTCACCTGGTCACTTGAAGGATCAGTTATGTGGTGCTGAGGGGGATTTTTAAGAATCTCCAGAAATCTTGGCTTGTGAACGCAAATTAAAAATTTGTATTAAATTGTTAATATATTTGAAATCGAAATTTTATTCCTTCTTATTCAGTGTAAACTTTTATGTTGTCACTCGTACAATGTCTGAGTTCCTTTCAACTTCTCATTAAACGATAACCAACTTGTCACATGATGGTTCTCATCTTCTCCCTAGAAGAAAAGCTCTCTCATCTTCAGAGACCTGTTTTGTTGAGAGTTTACACATTGATTTTATGTACCAAAAAGACATTTCAAATAATGCAGTTTTTGTTCCTGATTCTGCGCTTTATTCAATCAGTTGAAATTATTCAGGTCTTTGCTGTCACTCTTTTCACTGGATGGCTCTCTTAAGTGCCAGGTTGAAGCCTCAGTTGTTTGTTGTCTGTGAGGTTTTTATTTTGTATATATAGTATTCGGTTGTAAAAAATTAAAATAACAAACCTTAGACACTTACATGAAAAAAATCTTCAGTGCTGTAAGGGTGTTTTGAAGTATGTAAAGAATTAACTCGTCTTATGCTATTGGAACTCTTCGGTTTAAAATTTAAAAAAAAAATCAAATTCTTTTGAGCCTTCCACAGTCATCTGGACTTCTTTTGTAGGAGCAAAATACATGTACAGAAGACAGTATAAATAAGACCAAACTATATAAACATATACTATCTGAGTTCTTTATATATCTAAAAATATTTCTGAAAAGATTGTACAGTAATGCATTCCCTGTCTTTCTCTGCCTAAGTACTTTGTTTTATTAACACTTGTGGCTGGTATACCATAGATATTAAGATCTTATTTTCATTTCATCTAATTATTTTTTTTTTGTATGCCAGAGAATGAATTATTTGCATTTAAGAAAATAAAAATACGGGATTGCTATTTATTAGAATCAAAAACCAGGTCAGCAAAGAGCTGGGTTTTTTTACATCTGCCTTGCGTATCTTTTACCACAGGGACTGGCTCTGACATTGTATGAACATATAATGTAGCCAGTGTGCATCTGACTGACTGGAGAGCATCAGTTGCTACCAAAAAAATACTTTGACACTTTCTCTTTGGAATTCTGTAATGGTGGGATTTAAGTATTCTGAATTTATGATCTCAGTCTTATATTTAGCTGTTCAGATAGGAAATTAAAACTTAAGGTGGGGGTAGAGAGCACAGTGCAAAGTGTGATTTCTTCTGACAAAGCATGTTACTCAGTCACGTTGCTTAATGAACACCAAAGGGTAGGGATCACCTTGCTTAAAGAACTAATTGACCAGTTATCAAATAACAACCACATGAGTTAAACAGCCTCATGGTCTCTTCCCTTTTTTTGAGTCTCTGATAGAGATTATCTCGTTTACCCATAATGATTTTTAAATTCCGTTTCTGCTTTTAAAATAGAAATTGTCTATAGACACATATGTAAATTGTCTATAGAGTACATGAATCATGTCATTGACTTTAAATTACTCTGCTTTTTCCTATTTTTTCAAATTTAGATGGCCTAATTAGTTTATCATCCAGCATGATGGATAATGATTGGAAAACCTAAGCAGCAGGTGCTAAAAATGAGAAGAGCAACTGACAGTTTTCGCAGAAGTGCTGTTACTGTATTGGAGAGGGATTTGCGAGGGAAAGGTTTCTATGAATCAAAATATAAGCATTTGGATCACAAGGAAAGGAAAGACTTTTTTTTTTTTTTTTTTTAACAGAAGTAAGTGTGAAAGGTGGGAAAGAGAAAAGAGATGAAGACAACACAAATTGATTGCTAGTTGGAAGAGAGCGTTAGAGCGTCCCTGCCTAGGTCACTTTTCCCTCTGCAAAATTTCTTGGCAGGCTTTCCCCACTGTGAGGCTGTATTTAGAGTTGTAAATCAAACATATCTGGAAATCTTCTTGGACACAAAGAGCAACTGGCATGAAATGGCCCACATTGATGATAGTGAATTCTCTTATCTTCCAAAACAAGGCAGTAGGACAGAAACTGCTTTAGGAGTGACCTTAGAAGGAGTCCTCACATCAGGGTAGGAAGGTGCCTAGGACAGTGGTGGTTGTCACGGGCCAAATCCATGCCAGGGACTGTTGTCACAGTAACTAATACAGACAGCTACACTTCATTGAGTTTACTGCTGTTGACATAGCTTAGGACTCCTACAGTTATCCTGACTCCCATAAAGGGTTGAATATGATAAAAGAGGTTTCCTGCTCTGCCTCCCTCAAAATGACTGAGTTTTGATCTTTCTTAAATAATAAGACTGTGTCAAAAGCAACAGCAGCACAAAGGTAACCGGAATTGGGTTTTGCTCAGATGAAATTACGGGGAGAATTATCAAGGATAGAATCTGTAGGTGCTAAAAATAGAGGGAAACAGGAGAACAAAGTGGGTGAAGGGAACAGGCAGTGGGATTGGTAAGGAACAGCTAATCACAAAGCTGAAGGAGAATAAAAGAGTAAAGAAAAGAAATGTCAGTTCTGAAGGAAATTAGGAGAAGACTCAGAAATTAATATAAATAAAGCTTTCTTCATAATGCTTACGTGATATGCTCCGTAACTTAAAACTCTGCAGAACTAAAATTGACTGATTTTTACATCCTTTTGTTTAGTGCACTTCATTATTAAAGCCAAGCATTATTTTTGCCCTGGTGCAAAACTAATATCTGAATTTAATATAGGATTAAAGCTTTAAAATCAGCAACTGCTTTCCTTAAAAAAAAAAAAAAAAAGGCAAAACCAAACAAAAACACCCAACCCAAAACAAACAAACAAGCAAAAAAAACCCAACAAAACACCAAAACAACCAAAAAAAACCCACCCATGTTGGAACAATGACAAGACACTTGCTTTTCAAGATAATTTTATGTGCTCAGTACAATATAAGTACATTTTTTTGGGTGAAAGAAGCAAAGAATAAGTTCAGGTATGAGTTGCTAATGTGCTGCAGCAGAAAATGTATGAAGTGCTGTGTGCAGAGGCATCATGTCTCTGATCAAGGAGGTCATAGTTTATTGTCTAAGATACTTATATATCTATATCTATATATATATCTATCTTATGTGTTAAAAAACCACATTTATTTAAAAATTTTCCATTAGTCAGAATTTAACAAATCAAGTATGTCTTGATATGCAGTCTTCTTAACAATTTCTATTTTAAACAGACTGAAACAGTATATTTTTGGTTTTAGAATGTAAACCAGTTGGTAAGATAGGAGAGGGAACATTTTCTGATGTTCTGAAGACACTGAGTCATAGGGACGGAAAGTACTGTGCATGTAAACACATGAAGCAACATTTTGAAAGGTATGCATAATTAATCATAGTACTATAGAAACCCTTATTTAAATGCAGTGGGGAAAATGTGAAATTAAGACTCAGTGACTTTTTTGAATACACATGTATTAAAAAGGTTTGCATGTAGTACAGAAAGGGAACTCTGCTGCTGATTATGCAGGTTCTTCCCATTTGGCATTGAGGTTATTTCCATGAGTACTCTAATTGATGTCATCCACTGTCCTAAATGCTGCCTGGCCACTGGGTAGAGGGTGGATTGAGAAGAATGAGGACTAAATAGTTGATTTCTGCCTTTCCAAATGCACTGAATATACTTGTGCTGTTTTTCTTTTTGCTGTAAATAATAACAGGAGGAAGAAATGTGTCATTCTTCCACCTGGACAATACTTTTTTCAGTCTTACTTTAAATATTGTTTTAATGCAAGCTAAATACACTGTATTTGTACTTAGTCCGTGTATACCATTAGTTCTATTTCACATTTCCATTTTAATTACATCCATCAGCAAGATGCTGTATGGTCATGAAATAGATGCTTTTTATCAGATAGGAAAATAGGAGAGGGCTGTGTGGAAGTAGACATAGACTTGACGTCCCCCTCCAAATATGTAAGTGTCAAACACAGTGCCTTTTGGGTCACTGACTTTGTGTTCTCAGTGAAATATATTAAGTTCCTAGTGAGATCAGTGGGAGTGACACATTTGTACACAGGAAGTAAAATGGGACATTTTGCTCTTAGGTGAGATTTCACAGTGTAACTCAGTGCTTCAAAGACTGTGTGTTCAATAAAAAAAAGTATTCAAATATCTTGAAGTAATGTGGCTTCTGATTCTCTTTTGTGTTGTTAGAGAACTGTTGGTCCATTTATACATTATCTACAACCAATCAAATTGTCCAATTTACGACCAAAAGAGTATTTAAACTAGCTGCTTAACTATATCAAGGGCAGATGGTATACAATTCAGTGGCAGGGCATAACAAGAAGACTCTTATTTTTCATATGGCATGTTTAAAAAATCTTTCTGACCTTTAACCCTTTGATAAATTGACTGGCAAATGCTTTTGATGCAGTGAACTTTTTTAGCAACAGTTAACAGCGTTTTAAACAGAATCTGCCCATACAAGGTATTTCTCCTAGTTTCAAATTGGAAAATACGCATTTGGTGTTTAGCTTTAAGTCTGACTGAAAAGGCTTATGTGTTCTGATCTATTAAATAGTGAGCAAAGTTCTGTTTCCTGCTTCCTCCCCAGAGCTTCTGTAGCATGTAGTTTTGTTGTTTGTTAAAATCTAGGAGGGCAACGCAATAGTTAAACAATAGTTGAATTGTATCTATTTTTCATGTAAGAGGTTACCATCAGAACTTAATTGTAAATGTTAAATTTGGCAAGGCTAAATGGTCACTTTTGGCACCATGCTGAGCAGTAGTTGGAATGTACACTACACCAGTGCAGAATAAACAGTATCATACGTACCATGATGAAACACAGAATTCATCCTAGATGGCTCCTTGGCACGATAACTGATGTCTGGAGCACAATACATCACTACTTACCTTGTTTGGGTAAATCCAGCTACTCCAGATTGCAAGAAGGAGTAAAGCCATTCTCCTGATTACTGATTTGCTACACAAAGAAACAAAGCAGTCAAACAATTTATCAGGTCCTGCATTTGAAAATTCAATTACAGACTAAAGTTGAGTAGGTTCTGTCAGTCTCATGGCAGGGAAGAAAGACATTTATAATCCATTCCTGATTGCAAGTCAATCTTCCTCTTTTTAATCCAAATTATGGAACAAGTGATTAATCTGAGAGAAATACAAGCACTAAGGAGGCTGAGTCCACATCCTAACATCCTTTTGTTACCTTGTTCTGTAAGTATGGCGCATTCCTTTTTTTCTTCCTTATTTTATTTGAATGCTGTCCAGTAACTTTTGGGTCTAGAGGCAACCTGTAGGCACTTAACCAGCTTTTTATTCTATCAGAAAAAAACAACAAATTTGTCAAATTCTGAAGCCTTCATGCATTTTTTATTAAGAAAGTCTGATGTAACTTTCACTTTTTCTGGATCTCTTGCAGCAGACTAAAAATATTTCAACATCAGTATTAAAAGTACAGACTAGATATATTTGAAGCATAGCTAAACTTCATATCATGATATGTAATACTTGCTGATGATTTCAACCCATGTCCCATACCCAGTGAGTGCTTTAACTGCACAGCATCATGGCTACTGGAAACAGTATTTCGGTCAGACACACTCAGAGTTTATCTGCTGGAATAGGCTCTGGGACTTCAAGGATTTTGGTTTGATTTGTCAGTTTGAACTAAGGATCGAGGCAAACCATTTGGCAGTATCATTTCCTAGGCAACTTTACAGACATCCCTTTGCAAATAATAGAAGTTTAGATTCCTGCATTAGGCAGCAGCGTGGCTGTGAATTTGGGAAGAGATCACTCAGTGATGAAGTTGGGTTCCTTAGCCTCATTAAGCACTTAGGTGTCTTGTGGGGACGTGTTCTTGTCCCACAAAGAGATCAGGGTTTATGACAGCGTTTACTTCATTGCTGTGCATTCATCACTATGCAACAGTAGACATATACTTCATTATTCAAATGCTTGACACAAAACTTGTTGACTGCTCTAAAATATTTTTTTGCTTGCTCTTCAACCTGTCTTATTCCTCTGCTCAAGGCTCTGGTACTATACTGTTATTGACAGGCCTGCTTTCTACAAATATATATAAAGATGATAATCATGTCAGCAGCTTAGCTTTCTGGAATTCTCAGCTTCAGCTGCTGTGTTCTTAACGAAGTGTAACCCAGATGGCCAGCCAGCTCGCCTAGCTCTTTCTCAGTCTGTCTGCAAACTAAATTGAAGATTGTACCCTCAACCTTTTGCTGTCTGGGTTAATGGAACATTGCAGAGGGGAGGTACTTTAATGCAATTGTCACATGAGAATAAAACTGAAGACCCCAAGACATCTGCCTCTGCAGTGCAGTGAAATGGAAAATAGTGTCAGATGTATTATCATATCATGATAATACTTAAAACTGCTGTTGTCAGCAAAACACCCATTCCAGTCAGATATTTGTTTCCATGCAATAGAACACTACTGGTGACCTAACTAGAGAGTATTTTCATATATGGCATACTGGCTTCCCTATCTTTTATTGTAAGATTGTATCAGTTAATTTACTGGAAATTTCTTGATAGCAAATAGTGTGAAGTGCCCAGAAAACATGCCTTCAAATAACTTAATGGAGTAAATCAGTTAAATTTTGCAATGGACGCTTTGGATAGTATAACCTAAAACTATGATAGCTCAGACCCCAAGTTGGAAAAATTCTATGAGAAAGTATAAATTAAAAATGAAAATGTCCATTTTAGTACTGGTTAAACAAAGTGCTTTTTTTACACTGTGTGCAAATCAACATTTCTAGCTTAAAGTCTCTCAGTGATCAAAAGCTGTCTCCCTTTCGCTGATATGTGAACTTATGGACGTGAATATTTATGAGCTGATAAAAGGTAAGTATCATATGCTTAAGAAACACACAAACCCTTCTTGCATAGATCACAAAGTGGAATTAATTATTTTTCACTTGGTTGTTCACCATTACATATTATAAAATTCATAGAGAAATTTTGTGCCGTGCTGCTTTACTCTTTATTTCTTTCCAGTGCAATATATGCACTTGTTTAAGGCATGGATGGATGCATGCAGAAAATTTCTAATGCGTCAGGTCACTGGCCATCTCTTTCTGCAGTTAAACTTTACGTGAAAACGGGAAAACAACATTGACTGCAAACCAGAAAATAATTGCTTTATGTAACAAAAAGTACAACTTAAGCAGGTTCTTTGTTAGGTCAGGACCATAATGATATAACAAGAAAATAATTCCCGTTTGTTTCAAAAATTACTGAATCAATGAATAATGATTTTCTATTTTTATAGCTAGTACAAATGCCTTTTACCAAGTTTTCTCTATAAAATAACATCGTTGTCTGAAACCTCCAGTATTTAAAGATTCCGGAGCTGTTTGTTGAAGCAGATGGGTGACCATAAAGCTTAAGGAACAGTTCCTACAAAAAAAGTTTAGAACAAAGGCTGATTTAAAACCAGATCTCATATACACCCAAAGGAGTTGGATGCAACGAATGAAGGGGCACTTACCTTTAATTCCGTATTAAGAGAGGATTAAAAATTTGTTATGTCTTAACAGTTGGGAGATTCATTTAAATAACTGAGCATGCAACTGTCATTCAGTGTAATATAATAGATAAAAGACTTGCTCCCAAACATTACGTTAGTAATACTGAGTATTCAGATCTCTAAGAAAAGGATTAACCCTGTTCCTGACCTAGATAAGAATTTGAGGTTAAAATACAGTTGTTTGCTGATCACTGAAGCAGACATGAATATTTGCTGGTTTTAATAAGGCATTTTATTTTTCCAGGATAAATTTGATAAGTTGTAAAGTCAGAGTAACAGCATATAGGAAGGAGTTCTCATTGGATAGTTACTCCAGTGCATTAAAAGCAATCCTGCATCTTTTCTTCCCAGGAAAGATACTGTACTTCAGATATGAAAAGTTAGAATGTTTAGGTTTGTTCTTTAACTGCCTTTTTTTTTTTACCTCAGAGTATTTGCTTTCATTTGGTTACATTTCTCAGTGTTTCTCTCATTCTTTTCATGTGAAAAAGCCTGCTTTATTGAGCATTGTAAACAGATGGAAATTAGTCTTAATACTTTCAGTATGTTCTGCTATGTTTATTTAATTGTAAAATACAGTTTTTATCAAATTCAGGTTTTCCTGCTGCTTAGTTTTAAAAACCTCCTTTCTTATTACATGGTGAATCACTTCAAAATGAAATCTGTGTTCAATTGTAATCTGAAATGCTGCAGTTAGAAGTTATCTAAACATTAATCTGGGTCTACCTGAACTTCTATAAATTGCTGGTTCTTCTTTATGGATTTTGTGTCTGGACTGTGTTTCCCATGTTACAACGTCCTTTGTTCGCCCTGTACAAGCTGCTGGCACATGGGGTGGAGCTTGTCAAATCATAGAATAAAATGGGAAAATGAATAACAGATTCTTATGGACATTATAATAAGTAAAAAAAAAAAAAGGTATTTTGCTATTTTGAAGTATTGAAGTATTTAATTTGTGTCAAGTGTTTTGCATTTTTCAGAAAGTAATTTTGGAGTTTCAAAGTAGATGTGTTAACACCACGATTTCCTATGGGCCAAAGATAGTTTTTTATTTGTTTTCTGCCCCAAACAACTCTACTTCTGGTTTATTGCAAAGTCAAAAAAAATGTAACACATGGAAGTAATTTCAAGCAATAAATATGGCAAAGATTCCAAGTATGTAATTAAATTGGAAAATTAGGTGTTCTGGCTCAGAATTAAGATTATCAACTGAGTATATCTAGATAACAATGGCAAGTAGAAGGAGCTCCTTTTGAATTTTCAGCATTGTGATTTGAAGGAGGGCATTACTAATTTGTAGCACAATTGTGTTCATTATCAATGGTCTGTCACAAAACAGTTTTCAGAGTGTGGAAAAATAATTACATTTAAGGTGATTTGTAGTCTTTTGTAAATGGCTAAAGCATATAGTAATGTGAATGCTTGTCATTTTCTGACTACGCTGAATCTTGCAAAATTGAGTGTAGGTGCAGAACAACTTTAAAAAGCTTCAAGTTGGAACAATGTAGAGGCAAGAATGGTTTGTACAAAATTTTGTAATGAAGAAAAACTTGAAGCAGGGGTTGACTGAAAATTAATTTCTAATTTAACAAGTTGCATGGAGACACTTCTGTAATTATAAGAGCAGTTCACTGGAAGGCTACTAATGTGGGAAGTTTCCTTAATAAACTGACAGATTCATGTTATTTCAATCAGCACAAGGCCATTTGTTTTTACAGAAAGTCATAATACTCTTGCTGTTAATCTATAGTGGTATCACAAGTCATTTAATAATGGCAAAATAGTCATGCCTTTTGTTCAAATCAAGAACAGTTTGGTCATTTAAAGTGATGAAAAAAGTACAGCTCTGCGAGTGGTGTGGAAGATGCCTCGGTCAAAACCAATTTAGGCTCAAGTGCTGCTGCCTTATGATTTGCTTCATCATTACTTCCAACTAAGGTTTTTCTAATGATAAATCTAGGGGTAAAAGAGCATCTTCTCCAAATTTTACTAGTGACCTGTAATGAAAAAACAATTGAGCACAGCTTCATTTTATGAAGGCCTGATTTTTTAAAATACTAATAATAATCCGAGTTGGTTTGAATAGCTGCATTTTATAAAATCTTTTCTACTATAAATGACAAAAATCCTGATGTTGAAAACACCATTTATCTCTACTGGGGTAATAATACTACAATTCCCGATGTAAATGGCACTCCATTTCAAGTGCTTTGTTACCAAATCCTGCTCGGGGGATTATGTGGCTGAGCGGAGCGGTACTGTAATCAGGGAGGAACACCAGTCCCGCTGGCTGCTAGGACTTGCAGCCTCAATGAGTTAGTGTCCTGAGAATCTCCCTCCTCCTCCCCAGGCAATTACTCATGCTGCTGTCATCAGGGCAGATCAGTACCTGCTTTGTTTTTCAAAAATATGATCATTTCTGCCTCCGTGGATGACACTGCAGCATTACATAAAGGCATTACTGCAAGCTTAAAAGGCCTTTGGAGCCTATAAAAGAAAAAAAGCTGAGTAGTTACTGAATGGCTCTGAAAAATAGATAAATTTTATAACTGTCATTATTGCACAACGGCAATAGCAAGCTGAACTACATAGGTTAACCATTAATTTGCAAATCAAATGTGAATCACAGTTGTTTAAGCATTGCAGTAATTTGAGGTGATTGATATGAATGTTGAACCTTAAGGACAGTTACTTTGTTTAGAGAGGAAATTAGATGTTTAGAGGTGAAATACTGCAGTTCTGTTAGAATTTGGGGAAACAGATACTGCAAGAAAAACATGCAGTAAAAGCTAAAGCAGATTACAGACTGTTGAACTGACAGCTGAATTATTCTGGTGCATACTGAAATCTGAATTATGTCTGAAATTGAGTGGAAAATGTATTACAAATCTAGCTATAAATGACAGAAGTAACATAACTGAAAAGGCAGTATCAGTGCACTATTGGAAGCTGAAGAGTCATTTTTCTGTATTCTGTTGTTTGCTAAAAAGTATTTGTACGACTCGAAATTTAATTCTAGGAAGGAGAAAGCCATTACCTGGGAAAAAAAATCAAGAACTACATGTACCAGTTACAGAAACCTCTTGATTACATACAGGTAAGAGACCTGGTTGAGCAACAGCTTTACAGTAAACGTATCTTACATTTCAGGGTCATCTCTAAGCAGAGACACACAATGGTGTGGGGCAGCAAGCAGGCAGCCCGTGCTGCCTCCAGCCCCCAGAGGACCCTCTACACCTGCTGCTGGGAGCCCTCCTGGCTGGGGGGGCCCTTGCAGTCCTTTCCTAACGCTGGTGAGAGCAAAAGCAGAAGGTCTGGCCTCGCCCTTTCCCCGCTCCCACACCTGTGGCTGTTGTCTCACCATGGTTGCAAAATTCTGTTTTTTCACTGTGCTGTTGATAAGTTTGAAAAAAGTGTTAGTTTCTTTTTTTTTTTTTTTTTTTACGAGTAACTGGAAGCACTGATAATATTTATATTTTTACTGAATTCTTCTCTCTGGTGTGTTTATATTGGTACAGAAATGAGATATTTCAGAGCGATGTGAAACCAGAAGACATATTAATAAAGGTAATTAATTTTATATGAGCATATTTAACTGAAAGTGAAGTATATCGGTATTTTTTCTCTTTACCCTGAGAAGGTAATGCTTTTTAATTAATAAAAGTACAGTTTAAAAAAAAAAATACAGAGAGACAGTTACCTCTAATACCATATTCCTGATCTAGAGCATTGAACAAGCAAGTTTGTTTTTGGCTAAAGCCAGAAATGAATCAGGTGCATTACAGCCTGCATTTGGTCACTCCAGTCTAAAAACCTGTTCTTTATCCTCTATTAGTATATATTTTCCTTTCTGTGTTAACCTAGAAACGAGTGATAGAGTTCAGTTTTGCAGCTCTTTCTTTCTGCGTTCAATTCCTATGTTTAGTGGAAGTTACCTCATGCTCACTTTTGTATAAGTATTAGCTTTCGGAAGATTTATTTTCTGAAATCTATTTCCCTGACAAGTTTCAGAATGTTATTTTGCTAATGCCTGAAAAGCAAGGATTTCAAAATTTCACTTATGAAATTTTATTTTCTGGAGATAAATTTTTATTTTCAGTCTTAGAAGTGTACAGGAGTAGCCATTACAAAGAGAAGCCAAAGCCACCTATTATATCACTGCTGAACACAAGAAATCTAAGAAAATAACTTAATCCAGATGTCCTATTTAGCAGGCTTCCCTTCAGTAATAGTCCGTATGCTTCTCAATTAACTCTTAGGTCTTTCTTTTAATGATGTACAGAATGGTATTTGCACATATTATGGGACACATATATCTTAAAGCCTGAAGCTACTTGCTATTTAAATGCAGTTTTACTGCTATAATACTACCCCTGGGATTTCTGAAAGTGTATTCTTAAAGCAATCTGATTTCTTTTTCGATGACTACTTCACACGTTTAAGGAAAATCTTTGCTTGAATATTTCAGTGCTTATAATTTGTCAAAATACTTTATTTATTTTTGCAGCAGAATACCCTGAAGTTAGGAGATTTTTGGATTTGTAGGAGTATCTATTCTAAGTGGCCACACAGAGGATGTATCTCTACACACTAGTACCAGGCACCTGAACGCTTACTTACAGATGGCTACTATAATAGATACGGAGTGCTGGCTGGGTTTTGTATGAAATCACAAGGTATGGTGTTTAGTGGGGGGTCTTGCTTATTATTAACCACGAAAATCAAAGGTAAATAACTCAAATAAGGAGCATGTGGCATGGGTAATATGATATCCATGGGTTTGTGTAAGCTGCTTGTGTGATTAGTCTGTAGGGTTTATGAGGCAGTAATCCTGTCTCGTCTGTCACTCTCTTCACCCTATGGCAGGTTAGTAATAAAGCAGTGGGAAGTTCAAGAGAAAGTAGCACCAACAAACATTATTTACAGGTAAAATAACATTTTTGAACAGTTGGTTGTTTTGTTGGGGGTTTGTTTTTTTGTCCATTGGCTTCATATTTGAGTTTGGTAAAAATGTGTTTTCTCTGTGTTCTCTCTGAATAGAGCGTGGCTCATTTCCTGTCCTGAGCATCACTAACCACGCTCACAGTCTTGTTAAGGCACTTGATAGTAAAATTTTTCCCTTTTTTTCAACTTACTATTCTGCAAAAGCAGAGGACATTAGAGAAGACACTCCCTCTGATTTACTACTTCGATTTCTAATACAGTGTGTTTAAGACCATTGTGCTAGGACCTTGTGTCCTGGAATATTCTGAAGTTCGATTCTGATGAAGGAAGGGTTCAGGAAAACAAGGATTAAAGTCCTTTAAACTTTTCAAAGATGATGAAACTATAACTCAAAAAATTTGTTATCGGTCTTCAAGAAAAAGGGAAAAACAACCACCATGAGTATTTCTCCAATATCTTTGTGCCCTAGCAACAGCAGCAGCTCTTCTTTATTCTCCTCCCACACTGCTGTCTCTGATATGCAACCAGGAGTGATAACATTTGCTTTGCTTCTTTCCTCCTCCTCCACATGGCAAGTGCAGCTGCTGCCATCACTGTCACATTAAATGACAACCCTTATGCTTTGCCTGCTAACTTGTAGAAACAGTTCTACTTCGGTCAGAAAACTGTTAGCAGAAAAATCCCAAATGTAGCAGTTCTCTTGCAAAGTAAATTGGGACCCAGAGCTTTAAAAATGCCATGTTTTTCCATTTCAGTTTGAATCGGGTGAGCTTTGAAGATGGCAAGAAAATTACATGCTCCAAACCTAAGTTTTCTTAGGGCAAAAAACTTAAAGATATTTTCTCATCATTTTAGCTTAATGTAACAAATCTAATTCTTTGCAACCACTGCATATTTTCAGAGACCTGATAGATGTGTTCAGGGAGAAATGAGGGATGTTTACTGGAAATTACTGAATTAAAAAATATACAGTCTTGCAAGCTAAAGGAAGTTATGAACTGGTTTGATTCTTTTTAAGTGCATCTTGTAGTTTTTGCTGTTGAATGTTTGTGTAAGCCTTTATGCTTTACACCACATTGGTGTAATGAATTTTTAGTCTTTTACTCAGCCATACTTACCTCTAAAATCTTGGTCTCCCTCTTTCTGTTCCTTATAAATCATAGAATGGGTTGGGTTGGAAGGGACCTTAAAGCTCATCTAGTCCCAACCCGCCTTCAGGGCCCCCTTCCCCCAGCCCAGGGGGCTCCCAGCCCCGTCCAACCTGGCCTTGAACCCTTCCAGGGAGGGGGCAGCCACAGCTGCTCTGGGCACCCTGGGCCAGCACCTCACCCCCTGCACAGGGGAGAATTTCTGCCTCAGATCTCATCTAAATCTACCCTCTTTCAGTTTAAAGCCATTACCCCCTGTCCTGTCACTACATGCCCTTCTAAAAAGTCCCTCCCCATCTTTCCTGTAGCCCCCTTTAGGTACTGGCAGGTCCCTATAAGGTCTCCCCAGAGCCTTCTCTTCTGCAGGCTGAGTAACCCCAACTCGCTCAGCCTGTCTTCATAGAAGTGCTCCAGCCCTCTGATCATCTACATGGCCTCCTCTGGACCTGCTTGAGAAGGTCCATGTCCTTCTTGTGTTGGGGGTCCCAGAGCTGAACACAACACTCCAGGGGGAGTCTCGTGGAAGTGGAGTAGAGAGGGAGAATCATCTCCCTTGACCTGCTGGTCACGCTTCTTTTGATGCAGCCCAAGATACAGTCGGCTTTCTGGGCTGCAGATGCACATTGCCAGGTCATGTTGAGTTTCTCATCAACTAACACCCTCCCCCAGGTCCTTCTCCTCAGGGCTGCTCTCAATCCATCCCTCGCCCAGCCTGGATTTGTGCTGGGGATTGCCGTGACCCACGGGCAGGACCTTGCACGTGGCCTTGTTGCACTCCATGAAGTTTGCCTGGGCCCACCTCTCCAGCCTGTCCAGGTCCCTCTGGGTGGCATCCCTGCCCCCCAGCGTGTCACCACACCGCACAGCTTGGTGTCATCAGCAAACTTGCTGGGGGTGCATCGACCCCACTGTCCATGTTGCTGACAGATGTTAAACAGGGCCGGGCCCAGTGCTGACCCCCGAGGAACACCACTTGTCACTGCTCTCCACTTGGACATTGAACTATTGCCCACAACTCTCAGAGTGTGACCATCCAGCCTCTGCGATGCCAGTAAGACCGCAGCCCTGCAGGTGTGTACACATCTCTAGCTCCTCTTGTTTATTCCCCACACTACGTGTGTTTGCATAGAGGCATTTAAGTTGGGCCCCCAGTGAAGCTGATTTGCTGGCTGGAATCTTTTTGTGCTGCTCTCCAGGTGCTCTGCTGCTGACCCGTGATCCCTCTCCAGGCTCTGGGCATCTGTTCCTGGCACTGGCATCGAGCTTGTAGGGGTGGGATGGGTTGACGTTCACCTTCTTGGCAACGTTAGGTTAAAACCCTCTTCACCAGCTTGGTGAGCCTGTGACCGAAGATGCTCTTCCCTTTCTCTGACAGATGGACCCCAGCAGCCCCAGCAGCCCAGGTTTCTCTGAGTGAGTCCCATGGTCTAAGCAGCCAAACCCCTGGCTGAGGCACCAGCCATGGTTCCTGGATTACATTGTTGTGTGTGTGTGTGGATCGCACAGTTGTTCTTCAGTATGTTACAGTTTTACATTTAGAGACAGTACATTTTTGTGGTTCACACAGAAGCTACTCCCAACTGCTTGTCTTAATATAGCTGCACACCATGAGTCAGAGCTCTCCTTCCTCTATTCAAAGCTTTATGAAGATACTCAGAGAAGTGTGCAGCCAGCTGTTGGGCTGAATTTGCAAACAGTTAAAAGACGTTTACCCCATGTACAAAGAGGGCTGCTTTCAAGAACCATGTGGTGCTACTGAAGTGTTTCTTAAATTATAAGCTGAAGAAAATGTTCTGCTAATATGGAAAAAAGCAACATGTGAAAGAAACAAATGTTAGTGGACCTAACGTTAAGTCAGGTTGCTCTATTGTGATAACAGTGTTTTCAAGGACTGTGTGTGAATCTTATATTAACTGAGGATTGAGCTGAGGAACACAGTTCAATTACCAACTTTCCAGTATTGCTGCTTGCAGAGAACCTGTGTGTTAGGAATGGAATGTTTCTTATAAATACATATTTCTACATGCACACCCAGCAAAAGGGACAGCTTGACTCTGCTGTCTTAAAGCGAGGAAAACACATTGTCTTCTGGGATGTGCTGCTTCACTAGAAGAAAACACAATCCCGCATTCGTTGCCTTTCCCCCGGAAGGATGTTCTCTTTACATGCTTTACCCCAAACCTGGGATGAGGAGAGGGCACCTGCAGGTTTCTTGTTAATAACCCAAACTATTTCCATCCAAACATGGAGTTGTATTGAACTGCTGGTCACATGTTATTAAACTATCCACAAATGAATAATTCTGAAATGTGTCTTTCTCATAAATGAAAATTTATTTAAACGAAGTGGCAGCTATGCCACTTAAACTAGTTTAATTGTGTCTTCTCTAGTGCTAATACCATCTCTTACCTTGCAGTTTTCAGCCTCCTTCCTGGATCTAATGAACTGGACCAAATTTCAAAAATCCATGATGTTATAGACACTCCCACTAACAAAACTCACAAAAAGCTCAAGCAGTAAGTATGCATTCCCATAGTTATTAATTTCGTTGTTTAAAATACCCTCAGGTTAACTGTACAACTGTGTGCAATTTCTGCTCAGGGAGCCACCACAAAAATCTAATTCTGTTGTGATGGCTGCTGACTGAGGAGTGGTGTCTTCTCCCCTTACCCAGAGATAGTCACGTATTCACGATCCTTGTAGGCAGAGCAGAGGAAATCTGAGCCTGTATCAATCTCATCTGGCCTTTTATTTCCATATTATCTTTAAGACCAATGACAGAACTTGTTAGGAAAGAAAACTTTCTTTTTTTTTCCACCTATTACTTGTCCTTAATAAATGATTATCTTCACCTGATTTAGGTAATTTTTTTTCAGGAAATTGTAATTCTCTCTGAAGATGTATGAATAACTGTTTGTTCTCAACTTGCTTAACACAGGTCAAGTGTGAGTTTTGATTTCCCTTCTAAAAAAGGAAAAGGAATACCTCCTCTTGTGCACAGTTTGTCTCCCAAGGGCTTCTCTCTTCTCTATGCAATGATAAAATATGACCCTGATGAGAGAATTGCTGCCCATAGAGCATTACAGCACCCTTAGCTTCAAGAATTCTGGCAAGTGACTTCACTTCAACCTTGAAGACTAAAATTAAAAAGCGGGGGGAGCGCTGTGTGCTTGTTATTTAAAGTGACCTGAAATGCAGTTTGCTTACAGTGCTAGTACTCAGTCTGCAATACAGTGAACGTAATTCTTTGCGTTGAGTCCAAACTTCACCTAAAACACAACTGAAGTTTTTTTTCTTTTTTCCCCAGACTTTTTAGGGCACTTCATACACAAGCCTCGTCCATGCACAAAAAATTAAGATTACTAGGAAATACAGCAGGGGGAGTACCTCTGCATTTGTGGCAAATTTCAAAGGCAAGTCAAAGACTGGTAATATTTAAGTGAAAGAATTGTCAGCCCATTTAGAGAAAGTAATTTTTGTGGCACTGAGCTTGTTAGCTAGAAACAAATGTTTTGCTTAAACTGATTACTTGGTTTTATTCAGGCTGCCTAAGCACTGATCTTTATGTGGTGGGATGTAGTTCCCCCTCTCCCTCTGAAGCCCTGAAACATGATTGAGAATTTAGAAGCTGTGATACCACATAATCTCATCAGTAGACTCTTGTCAGTTGCTTTTACTTAGAGGGTCAGTTCCGTGGGTTTTTTTTTAAATATCATCATCCTCTTTTTGCTGTTTGCCTTTGAGTTAAAGAGTTTTACAGATGAAGTTGTAGCAGGCCTTCAGTCTACTTTTTGAGGTTTTTTTTAAACTTAATCATCCTGTATTTAGATGATATCTGGGAATATCTTAAACTTGTATTTGTAAATCGAAAAATTAAAATCTGATTAAAAATCTGGCAAACTAGAATTTTGTTTATATTCAAGCTATGTGAAAAATACTCAACATACTCTTAAAGGTTCACTGTATCTGCATGGTGAGATAGAAGCTAGTACTACATGAAAAACTCAGATACAGGTTTTGTTCAAAAAACCCAAATTACAGTAGCAAAAAAAATATATATAGTAATTATTTTCTGCTGGGCATTTAACCTTGAAAGCATGAACTCTCCTTCCATAAGAGCAACCACTCTTTCTACCAATTTAGTTCTGGGGTTCATCAGTGTAGGCTTTGTAAGATCTTTCAGGAAAAACTGCAAGAAACATCAAGTGAGGAAGTAATTTTTAGAAAATAATTTTCTAAAGTAGTATTTGGCTGAGGCTTTTTTTAAATTATTATTTGGATTTGATTTTTTAATTTTATTCCTTAAGATGTTCTCAGAAAGAAAATGAATCTTGTTTATTTATTTTAAAAGCATTCTCTTAGGAGAGTCCAGGAAAAAAACAAAACAGCAACGTGGACCTCCTTGTCAGGAATTACCAAAATTAAATCTGGAGTAGTCAAACTGACTTGCTGTCCCCGTCCTACATCGCGTCCAGTTCTCCAGGTGCCCAAGGAAGGAGCGAAACCCCCGTGTTAGTCTGGTAGATTTATTGGATGGAATACCGAGTTACAGACTCTGACTTGCTCATTGAAGTGTAACAGCAAAATGTGTTTTGGAGGGTGTATTTCAAACTTCTGTTGTTTCCTCAACAGTCTGAGAAACAGAAGGTACTTAAGTCTCCGCTGAGACATCTCCGCTTCCCTGCTGCAGAGCAGAGCGGAGGTTACTGACCGCCTGGTGAAGTATTTGCAGTGTGAGGACAAGGACTGTGCAGTGAGGGAGACCCAATCTTGTTTCCATTGTTGGAGATCTAACGTCAGTGCCTTATTTTGTGTTCCTCTGACAGTTTATAGGAAAACCCCCGAGGGTGCTGAGGGCTGCCTACCTACCGGTTCAGAATTCTAGTCCTGACGGATATCCGCGTTTCATTAAAGCATTGTTCTGGCAGAGCTTAGAGAGCACTCTGCATTGAACTTCCTTCATATTCTTCCTTTTTAGAACCTGATGGAGGAGGTTGGTTAAAAATAACGTGAAAGGATTCTTTGAGCTTCAGTATTAGTAATGGAATATTATCTACAAAATATAAGTTTTCATATTGTATTATAAATGACAGCTAACTTTTGGATATTTTTTAGACGTAGAAGATTTTTATTTTTCAGTCAACTCTGAAAAGTATTCACCTCTTGTGTTCAGTAACCTCAAGTTTTATTGAGAAGGTGCAGATTATGCAATCATATGAGAGTTGATTTTGATGCAGTTTCTGCAACTGCTGAGTATTTTTATATAACCATAATTAGCTAAAAGCAACTTTTTATCTGATTCAAAAGCAAATGAAATTTAGTCACAGTTTTCTTCAAGCCATTGATCTTAATATTAATCAAAAGCTTTAACAGTGACTGATATTGCAGCTAGTGGCTTAGAAGAGCAGTGAAGGCATATATCTTACCATGTTTCAGAAGTTGTACACACAGGTCATCAGTAACAATTTAATATAATGTTACTGTTTCTTGATGCTATAAAAGGCAAGAGTTAAAACGCAGCATTTTTATTTTACTTTGAAAATCTTAAAAATCCCAAGATCTAAAATTTGCAATACTTAAATTTGGTGATGTGTTACAAAACAGTTTTGCTATTTAAAAAACAAAACCAAAAACAAATGAGTTTGTGCAAGTCATATTTAGCTAGGGGTTTAAAAATCTTCTGCCTACCAAGTATGCATGCAAGATGAGTTTTGCAAGTAACTCTTTTGGGGTTTTTTTAATAGTTCTAAAAGTTACTCTGCTCATAATTGGGAAGTGATTAGCTTCTTTTCCAGTAACCAAACACCCCCGGGACTGCTGCTGCTGTTCAAAATTTTCTGTGCAACAAAAAAATAAAAACCCAGCAACGAGAAGGCTGGCAAGGGGCATGTTGTATTAGTAGTCACTGCTGTGCAGGAGGCACTATGAGAAAACACACTGGGTGGCAGATCACGTTGAGGTTACTAAGCCAACCCTTCAGCATCGAGATTGATGGTCTACATCCAGACAAACTGTTTATTCTAACCAGTTAAGATGCAGCTCAAACAATGCAGTAAAGTACACATTAACATAAAGATTTTATAAAAATACTAGTCATTGAGAATAAGTTTTGCCCATTATGCTCTCAGCTCTCCTTCTGAGGTTTTATTAGGCTCTGCATTTGTGAAAAATAACAGCTCTCCTCACTCAATAAGAAGCTTTCCAATAGGTAGCTTTTTTGTTGTTTTTTTGGTTGGTTGGTTGTTTTTTTTAAGAATTGGCATCTCAGCACTTGCAGGGTTCTGTTGTGACTGCATTACATCCTGTTCCTTGTTCTACCATTCAATCCTGGGTAACTCTGAGCATGCCCACAATCCACACGGGAGCTTTTCAATGTGGGGAAGCTCGAGACTCAAGTTCTTTATGAATTCTGTTGAGATCTACTGCTTGAAAGCTCTCATCTATCTTCTACCTTCTTCCAAACGTAAAGATAAACATTATTTTCACATTCTGTACTGAGGATCAACATGACATTCATTAGCAGGTTCTTTAAAATGTGAAAATATTAGCAGGATGTTTGTGGCGCATACCGTGGGAGTAATTTTTTGGTATTGATTCAAATTTGACTATCCAAGCTGAGTAGCTTGCACCTGCATCATGGCCAACTGTACCTTTGCTCATTTTATTCCGTTTCTTCATAGCAAACTTTCAGAATATCAATAGCAAGAATTGAAAAACATTGCAGCCCCGGCAGGAATTCTTGTAAAATGAAGCTATAGCATGTGAACAAGGCTCTGCAGGGAAATCTGTAGTGCTGCTACTCATCCTGGGTATGCCAGAGGAATCGCAGGCATCTCTTAGTAGGCTTGAACAAACATATAAGCAGAGTTTAGAGGAGGAAGTGTTCTAGACCAGTAGAGTGAGAACATCATAATAAAGGGAGAATTAAACAGAACATAATGGCGTAGCTAACTGCTCCCATTTTACTGAAACTGATACTGGATGGATGTTGTCTTTCCTCCACTTCCAAGCAGAAAATATGCTCCTGACCATGGCATCTCAAAGTGCAGTGGGGAGGTATATGAAGACAGAGTTACTGGCTGAGTTTTACTGCTCTGCTACAGTTAATCATCCCCCCACCTCATCAGGTTTTCACGTTAGCAGCTCAGACTGATAGAACAGACAGAGAATGCCAACAGTAAGGCAACCCAGTATTTGTTTGAATACCTAGAAAAGGTTTATATATATAAATGTATATAAAATCAGTATATATATAAACCTAGTGTAAGTTTGAATACATATATATATGTATATATATTAAAAAAACAAAGGTGTGAAAAAGTTTAGGAAATGGAATTAAGGACTGCAGCGCTACAAGGATCACAGTGTAATAGTAACCTCCAACCTCTTACCTCTGGAACTCGAGCAAAGGGTGCTGTGGCCTTATCCAGTGTTTTTTCCAGAAGAAGACGGTAAGTTGCTTGGTGCTGACATCCCTGGAGCTGAGCAGGGTGTGCAGCAGTGGTCTAAAAACAGGTAACTTATTGTATCTGAGGGATCTTGCTCTCCGCAGTCATTAATTTCCTACAAGATTTTAAAAAGGATAAATCCTACTACCCACATTTGACTGATCATTCACACTCAGAGCACTGTGTTTGCTTCTGTAATGAATATATCAAGTAGGTAATTGTTCATATACCAGGCAAGTGGTTGTTTTTTCAAAAAGATCAAGTCAAAATTTTGGTAAGTTTTAACTTGGAGAGAAAAGGCCATCAGAGTACTATCTCGTATGTTAGCAGCAATTCTCTCACAATCCCCTCATATCTGGGGCTGTCAGGCTGTTACAATAAAAAAGGCAATTTTGCTTTCAGCAAATAATTTTTGCTACGAAAATTGGAAATTTGAAGTGATGGACCACACTGGAACATTTTCTTCACTTATTTTATGCTTTCAGATGGATCTTACACAGTTTGGCACATATAGTGCTTCACAGGTTTTCATAACAAGTTCTTTGCCATTATACCTCTCGAGACAACTTACACTTCTCTGGCTGTTGGACGAGTAGGCAAACTTGAATTTTCTGGCCTGCTTCATAGTTAAAATACACTCAACTTTAAAAAAACAAATTGGCAAGTACTGTTTCTACCCTTACTTTTCCAGCTAAAATTCCATATTGAGATGATTTGTGTTCCACTCTTTTTTTTTTTTTTTTTTAATATATCAGGAAAAAGTTATTTGTTAAGAGCTGTATCTATAGTCAAACCCTCGAGTTCTTTCCAGGTAAGGTATTAGTATCCCTTTTCTTCCTAAAATATATCTTTTCCACGTATAATAAAGGGTGGGGTAGGCAGTTCCAGCTTCTAGATAGTTGCCTAACTGTAAAGAGGAGGCTGAAAAAAGAAAAACTACATACATTCCTTGTATGCTGTTGAACAGTGATTTGTAGCAGGGACATGCTCTGCAAATGGATTTGCAAGTAGCTACTGTTATTACCCAGATGTTGGATACAGACCCTTCCATACTGGTTTTGTGTTTTTTTAGCTGAAGGAAAAAAAGTCTTTGAAGTTACTACATATTTTCTCAACTGTTTCACTTTAACTCAGGCCGTATGAAGAGCTTATATAAAAGAAGTCTACAGGGAGATAACTACACTAGTGCTCAGTGCCCAGGTTCATCTGTATTTTAATAGTTAAACCCACTCTGTTTAATAAACCAAAACTTCTGAACAATAATCCTGCTCAGTTTCAGTATTTTCCCCATTCCTCATATTTTAGAAGAATGTAAGTAGGTAAGCATTGTAAAATACAGCTCCATCTTAAAGTAGACAAGCTGACTGCCAGCTTACAAGTGTATCTGGCAGTTTTCTACACACTCGCTGCGTTACAAGAATAAGACTTAGTTACAAGTAGCTACTGCAGTTGTTTCTCCCCAAATTTTCAATCATTTCCTGGAAAAAAAATAGCTTCTCGTGCTGAAAAATGTGTGAAGTTTACTTGCAATTTAAAAAATTCTTCCCATTTTTATTGTTGGAGAGCAGGAAGGTCGCAGTAACCCTCAGATTCGGTGTGTGCGTACTCGGGCATGTGCCGAGCCGGGGCCGCCGCCTCCCCCCCCCCCACCTGCCCCGTTCAGCAACAGCCTCATTGCAAATATTGCTGCAGGACAGGTAATTCTCTCCTCTGACATTCTGGGGCTTGACACAGCGTCTGTTGGTGGGGGGGTTTAATCTTTGCAAGAACTACTGAAAACAAGTTA